TATGTGTTTTGGATAAATCTATGTGACGTGTCACAGTTTGATGGAGCCACAGATATAGTTTCTACACATTCCTCCAGAGTTACACATAAGCTTAGTAAAAGTAACATCACTTGACCTATTTAAATGCTAAAAGCACTAATGTTTCTCTGGAGATGTTCTTGTGTTTCTGTTAATGACTATCCAAAGTGGTTAATAGTTGAAGTCTAATTTTATGGCCCACAGCCAAACTATAAAACCCAAACTCTCTCCATTTTGGGAGTTTTAATGGCTACGTTTAAATCAGATTAGACTCGGTGTTATAAACATAATGACTGTTGTGTTATATTCTGTTCTGCTGAGGACTTCTGGTGTCTAAAGTGTGGCTTCTAATGGTTTGGCATGACAGCAGTGTTAATTACCAATCTGTTCTCCTTCACTCCTCTCTTGTCTTTTCCTCTTGCAGGGGAATCACACTGTCACTTCTTCAAGAGTTCAATATTAAGAGGAACTTAAATTTCACGCATCATGAGACATATTCATTAAACTTTAGACCAAAATATGAGCCGGTTTTTAAACTTCCATTAAAATTTACAAGAACTAACAGAATCTTTCTAATGGACCATTCAGAGCTTGGACTTGTTTGTGTGTTTTCCCCAGACATCAGCTTAAATCCCCTGAGATGGAGCTGCAGTTAGGCAACGCCCTGCGGTCGCCCTGCGGACGCCCTGCGGACGCCCTGCAGCACACACATTGGCATCTTTTCCTTTTCTTTGCAGACTCACTGATGGTCATTAATGGTCAGTGTTGCGATCCTAGATCCTTTAGATTTGGTAACGTGCTTTCCTGACTAGTAATAAAAGTGTTAAGTTATGATGCTGCAAACTGCATTTTGTGGAAACAATGCAATGGAGATGTGGTGATTCTTCTCAGATTTGCCCACATCAGATGACCAGTTCAGTAAAGGTGTGACTGTGAGCTGCCTTCAGAACAAGAAGTGCAGGCAGAATGCTGTTCAACACTTCATCTGCCCAAATGTTTCAGGAGCAGAGCTGATCTGACCTTCCACCAAAGATCTGTCAAAGTTAGTTGTCTAGGAAGACAGATCTGTGTCCCCTGAGCACCAGAACAAGAGGATGGAAATAACTATTACACTACTGTAATCACTTTGACAGACAAACAGGGCTGTTTCCAAGCGCCATCTAACTTCAGGCACTCTGTTAGTCACGTGATGCTATGAATGAATCCTCAGGAAGCATTTGCTGTATACTTGTCTGCTTATCTTGTCCTTGTCTCTTTTCTACAGTAAAAGAAGCTCACTGGCTTTCATTCTGCTCATGTTTCAAAGTAAACTGGTGCTGCCCAGCTTAGTACAAGGGGCAGATTTGTCAGCGCGAGTGGTCACAGCGGTCCTCGACTTCTGGACTTGAACTGGGCTGTACTGCTCCTTCACATCCATATTAACAAGGCTAGGTGCACTGAGGTATTCTGCACAGCTGGACTGATGAGCATCAGTTGTTTCTGCACACACAGGTGCATTAGCACCACCACAACAAACACTTAGAGGGGGATTAAAAATTCATAGTAGATTAATAGCCTGAGAGCTAATCAGAATATACATGAGCGAGTGCCACAAGGGTAGGCTTGACACTTCACTTGAATCACTCTCACTCTCAAGTTGCAGTCAGAAAATGATGTGAGATCTGACTTACACGGTAAAAACAATAAAAGTTTAATATGACACTGATAAATGGGCTTTGAATAGCCACACAACACAGTCACTGTGGCCTCATAAAAACTAATATTAATAGGGCACTGGGAGGCATTTGAATGGTCAACATTCACACATAAACTTGATTTGGATTTTCCCCCAAAATGAAACAAACACTGTGAACAGAAGAGTCTAAAAAGGAAAGTATCAAATGAGCCCCAGTGAAAAGGCAACACTGTGGTAACTGATGGTTTCCCAGTGCACATTTGCATACCTGAATAGAGTGGGCAGCAATCTGTCCAAGTCATTACGTTAATTAGCACCTGGATAATTGGATGTAATTACCCTACATCTGTGAATTCACACTTCTACATTAATCGAAAAGGATTTGCTTCACAATTCATTTGAGGAGAATTTTAGAAATGAAAATGACCTTTGGCCACGCACGTTCATCTGGGGAGACAATCCAGAACATCTCTGTGTAGAAAGAGAGGAGGAAAAAATGCAGATGTGCTGTTTACATCCAGAGTCCCTCTCCTAAAAGGAGAAGTGCTAAAAACGCAGATGCTTCCGGATGCAAACTCTTATATAATGTCAGATTTGATTTTACCTTAATTTCCTTCTAAGGTATTTATTCATATTTTGCTCTGGTTTACCAGGCTTTAGTTTAAAAAAGCCTTCCTCTGTTCTGAGCTGCTTCTGTTTTAGTTTGCTGTTGATATGGTTTGCACTTGGTGCAAATCTTAGATTAAACCAATCAATAAATAAACATATTAATTAATGCTAATACTACTAACAACAACAATAATAATAAATAGATGGGGCGGTTGGCGCTGTCGCCAACCACCCCATCTATTTATGTGTGTGTGGGCACTTTCAGTCCAGAGAGGAAATGGCAGCAAGAAGAATCTATTAAATATTTGAAAGGCTTTAGGAGAGTCAGTCTCCAGTAAACACAAGATGAGTCTGAGTCTGTACAAGCACCAGGTGAGCACAGAATCAAAGAAAACAGAGACACGGAGTCAGACCTGCAGAAAAAGACTCGTTTTATCATTCACATCTCATCTCGGTGCTTCTGCGATTCATGCCTTCAAATTCTGACAACTGCAACTGATTTCTTCGTTGTTAATTTGCTCGCTTGCTTATCACATCCAGCATCCATCCATCCATCCTCATCAAGCCATTGTTGTTGCTTCCCTGCTTCCACATCACAGGCTGCACGTTCACAGTTTCTCCCTCAGTCTGCTCTTGATTAGCTTGGCTACTTCCCTCTCCTGATTAAGGTTTGCTTTACTGGTTTGCTGATGTTGGCTGACACTGTTTCTGTCCCTGAAAATGAACATGTCACATGCACAGTTTCCAGAATAATACTCAGTCTTACTAAATTTCATTTTGTGATTCTAGATGTTGCAGGTCAGGGGTTCTTGATCAGTCACAAAGTTACATTTATCTATATTTTTATTACATATATTGGGCTGTGAGCATCTACTGACAGACGTACAGAAACACACATCAGTTTTGCTGCAAATCAAATGTTAAAAAAGAAGCAGTGTTATAACATAAAATGTCAAATGTGTGTTGTCATCGCTCTGATAATGGCTCAAAATGTCACATGAAACATTAGAAATCATTTTATTTCAAAACCACATGCTGCTCTAACAGCCTCTGTTTTCCTGGTTTCAGGCTTCCCACCAGATTTTGGGGTCTTTCATTAACGAGGTCCAACTCTGATGCAGGTTGATAAGGCCTGGCTCATCCCAGAGAGGACGGCAGGGGCTGGGGTCAGGACTCTGCCCAGGCCAGTCAAGCTCTTCCACACCAAACTGGGAAAACCAGCCCTTTAAGGAGTTGTCTATACTGGCACTGTAACGATCAAACAACACAAACACCATTATTTAAATGACATTGCTGCATTTGGGATTTCTTTTCTTTTCCTGAAATAAGACACCTCTCCACACTAAAACAGGAAGATGGCAATTGAAGGAGTGTCCACACACTTTTGGCTATTTAGTGTGATTTCATTTCATGGTGATACAAGTCAAAAGCTTGTTTGTCACCAGCTGGACAGTGGGTCCACTTTTTCTTTCGTTTGAGTTTAATTTCTTTTCAGCTTCTCCACCTCTGCAGTTTCAGTCGTGCCCTTAAGGTTTTAAACAGAATGAATTAAATTTAAAAGACCTTTGTGGGCATAATGCCACAGCATATATAAAGTGTCAAGAAAGCACAGATTTATTGCCTAACGTTATGAAATGAGCGCAGCGTTGCTGACAGCCTGTTTATCAGAGCCAGCTGCTGACATCTGGCTCTCAGGACTCTGACAAAGGTCGGATTACTTGATCTTTCGATGCTGAATGAGTCTAACAAGACGCATGAGACACGTCGACAATGAAAGCGTGTCAGCAGCCAGTGCTCCAAGAAATAATCGGTGATCGTTTTCATGGCACACACGCACTGAGCACCAGCGCAGTCTGTGCTTGTATTTACCGAGGCTGTCATCAGTTTAAGCCTGTTGCACTTCAGTCAGACCTCTCAGTCTTTATCTGAGCTGAGGATCAGCTGGCAAGGAAAGGATTTTCTTTTTAACACAATCTTTCCTTACTTTGAAAAAGAAGAGCAAAATGATTATGGCAGAAGACAACGACTAATAATTTAATTTTAGACATGCTGAGGTCCAACTTCCTCCACTGGGGCTCCTGAAATGTTTAACTCATCACTCAACATCACATCACATTCAATTTATTCACAATTATTCGACTGTTAGGTTGCATTACCCATAAGTTCTTCTTCCTGCACGATGATCTGTGCGTGCGATTCTACTGCAGTACACTCGCTCTTAAGCCCCCCAAAGTTCCCAGAGACAGGACAAAATGAAAGTTAAATTAAAGAGATTCATTGGTCCTTCAGATTAATGGAAAAGAAAATAGACATGAAACACGTCTAGGGTGAAAATGGAAAGTCTAACAATGAGATGATTACACATCCAGGAAGGCGCATGTGGTTCAGCCCACACCTGTGCTCAGGTGATCCCGACGAGGCTAATCACCGTGTCGGCTGTTTTCTACGTTTAACGTGAAGCGGGAACAATAAGAAACGGACAACCAAGTAAAGAGGGAAAGGCGGGTGGCCGAGGACGCGAATGGCACGTGTGTCTCAGTCACCGAGTTTGGCTTATGTGTGGAGTGAACCGGTTTAGCGCGGACTGGGCTGACTTGCAGATGGGAGGAGAACGTTTCCACAGAGTGATGTGGTGGTAGGTGACACCACGCCAATGTTCTGAAACTTCTCTTGTGCATACAGGAAAGGTTGGAGAGAGAGAGAGAGAGAGCGTCCCGAAAGCCAGAAGTGTCAGCAGTCCACAAGCTGTGACTCAGGAGTCAAGGTGAGCTCAGTGTCCTATTGATGCACAACCAGTGTAGAGATTTAAAGAACTCCCAAAGATCTCAAGTTAATCTCATGCAAGCCAGTAAAAAAGGTTAAAGTCTGGTGTCAAGTGGGCTACAGGAATACTGGCAAAATACCAGTAAGCACGTACTGTATGCACTGATGTTAAGGATGCTCTCATACATCCTTTATGCTGAGCCCTCTGACTCCCTGCCCGACCTCCACAGGGCCAGATGCTGTGGTACTGGTCCAAATACAGTTACTGGTGATCTGCTGTGAACAAGAACCTATAGCCTGAGAAATCCACTGGCCTTACTACTGTACAACTGGAGTTGTGTATCATTTCAGCATATTTAGCACTTAGTGTGTTACTCTGCTGCCAAGCTGGTGACAGTGGTGTGTTCACGGTTTCCTTTTCTTCTGGGGATTTTTTTTAAATTGAGGAACAGTTTGAGGATCACTCTCATGTCCTACTCAGGTCAGTCACTGTAAAACGTTTGTGTCCAGCTGCTTTTGTCATCAGTTGTTGTTGTTGATGGGGAACCTCCATCTTCCAAGATGGACAGTTGCTGAAGGTGGTGTGAAGGTTACTGAATTGTTTTTGTTCCCCTCCCAAAACAACAAGTTCAATGAAAAGTCCAAAACCAGTGTCGTAACCTTTGACAGAACACTGGAAATAAAGTCATGCTATTTTAAAAAGCACATAATGTCACTGTTTTAATGGAATAAGATGGAAAGCAGGTGCAGCATCACACCAGCACTCAGCAGGAGCAGAGGCGTGCCCGGCACAGATCCCGACGGCCAGGATAAACTTGGTCTTCCTGCACAAACTGGACAGTCGACCCTCAACAAGACCAAAACTCGTAGCGTGTTCATGTGCAGTCCCTGGAGTGGGAGGGTTAGGGTTAGCTACAGACGCGCTGCAGCCTCGTTTCCTGCAGGTGAATCTGGAGATGTATTAGTCTAAAAGCGGCATGTTGTGGAATTTCAACATGTGTTTAAACATGGGATTAATTAACGGCAGTTGATTGACAGGTGTAGCGTGGGCACATTCGTCAGAGCCGCTGCTCCTTCTGTTCCGTTTGGGGTTTGTCTGCTCGCAGTCGTCCTTCACCAGATGGGCGACTGGTTTGGCTGAGGAACAGTTGTTGTTTTTCAATGTCCAGCCCTGACAGACATTAACACTCAGACTGAGCCTGATGCATTTTAAACACAGTTAAATTTGGGGGTCTCTGGGGTCTCAGACAAATTGCTCAAGATCACACAGGCTGTAAAATGAGTTTGTTGATTGATGGAGCTGTCTGCTCCAAATGGCTTCTGCGGTTCGCTCCTGCCTGGTAGACACTTTGTGAGAGACTCTTGTCTGTGGACAGTTCTAACACAGATCTCTTCTGCTGTAAATTATGAGACTAACCATGGACATGTTATTAATGAGGAAGATTTAGAAGGAAGATCAGCTCATTTCCAGATATTAAAACATTATATTGACTTGATTTGTGCGGGATGTTTGCAGGCTGCAGTACTGTCTGTAAAACCCACTGTCACTGTATTCTATGTAAGACAGAGGTTTTTGATTCTGCTACTTTAAACGATCACCGTTTCTGACTCACAAGCTGATGGTCACACTTCAACACATTACTTGCAGTAAACAGTACACTGGTGATTTAGGTGTTTAAAGCCTTACCAGTACAAGGGTGATGCTAAAGGAAAGGTATTTATGGTATGTGCTCAGAACGTTTTTCCGTGTGCAGAGTCATTATCCTCTGACAAACATGAATGTGCTTGATAAAACTTCCTGATGTCTTGTGTCCAGATAGACCTGTGGCCTGATGGTGGCACCAGAGATAAGGTCAGGGTGTCCCCACAGCCAATAGGGGTCGTACGTGTCAACAGAGGATTTCTGGAAACTATGGAAATAAGTTTTATAGATACCTTGTCATGTCTGTAACAGCATCTGTTACAAGTTTCATAATCAAGTGCCACAGAATTGTAAAGTGAACTGAAAATATAACCAAATGTGATTTCCTGAATTCTTCATCAAATTAGCTTCATCAAATCAGACTTGCTTGCTAGTTTGAAGTCTTTTAAGTCCTAATTTTGATCAAATTTGAGCTTTAGTGTGTTTATGAATGCTTGGTGCTGGCATGTGCGTGTTGCTACAGAAATAAGGGAAGATGAGGTGCGATCTAGAAAGACCAGGTTAAGGAAATATGTCTGAATTTGAAGGCTTGATGCCAAAAAACTGCTTAGAGGATTTTAAAGCTATAAGATTTGATGACATTGTGAAGTCACAGTTGTTTTTTCATTGCAGTGACAGCCATAGCAATCTACATGCAAATGCATTTAATCAGCCTTGTCTCCTGTTTGTGTATACTGCCAATTATGGTCTGATAGGAAATGTCAGTTACTGCCTGGAACAGTGCATGTTCAGTGGCAGTGTTTTAGCCGTGCCCTTCTTCCTGCAGATCACTTCAGATTCTGACATTATTTGAGGCTGTCTTGCACACAGCATGTTAAAGATCTCCCCATGGATTTTCAGTGATGTTCAAGTCAGAGCAGCTTGTCTGTCCTGATGTAGGTCATGGTGCATTTTGGGATACGCCTTGTCCTTTTATAAAAGCCAGCGTCTTTTCCATTTGATTTTCTTGACTGATTGCTTTGGCCTTGAGTTTCCTGGTTGTCGCTGTCTTTCCTGTGCCACTTAGCTGCTGCACAAAGCACAATATTTAATGTTACATCTGATAAAGGTAGAGGTCATTTTATATGCTTTAAGTCTGAATTAGTGTGGGGTATCTGGGGAATTTCCACAGAAGATTAATAAAGGCTTTTGTAGCTTAATTCTGAAGAGTAACTAAACCATCTAATAAATGTAGTGAAGTAAAAAGGATTTACCTCTGACTTCACTACATTTTAAAGAATGAAGCAGCACTGTTGCTTGTAAGTAATTGATCATGTGACCCTGTGTGTGTGAGCTCCTGTCTCTGTGTGGACGAGCCTACTCTCTCTAAAGCCCATTTAGTTTGGCGTGCAGTGCCGTGCGCTTTCATGCTCTGTGGAGGGTTTAGAACAGCAAACTGAATAAATCCCCTCTGAACACATCAATAGCTAAAGTGTGAGACGAGGCTGTGGAGCCTGGAACAAACCAGCTGTCTCACTGTGCATCAACGTGTTTGTGGTTTCCTCCTGTTTCTCTCCATCTAACGTTCATTATTTCACTTTAATTAAGATGATGGACTGATGTTTTTGTGTTTCCTCTCCATGATCTTCTACGGTTGATTGTCAGATCTTGTCTATTGTTGTTGATGATTTTATGCTCTTTGGCTTCCAACGTGAGTACAATGCTGTGTATAATTGTCCCTGTGAGAAGTCGGTCTTATCTATGTATCCTCTCCATGATCTTCCACAGTTGATTGTCAGATCTTGTCTTTTGTTGTTGATGATTTTATGCTCTTTGGCTTCCAACGTGAGTACAATGCTGTGTATAATTGTCCCTGTGAGAAGTCGGTCTTATCTATGTAAAAACACAAGGCCTTTAAAGCCTTTAAATCTACAAGGACTTTTTTTTATTTAAACACAAAAGCTTTAAGTTGTCAAAACTGACTGAAGCTGCTTTTTCCTAAACAGAACAGTTCACTTTCTCAGAAATGCTGCTGTCATATTATTATCTTAAGGTGGAAAAGCAGTGTGTGCTGGTCTGTACTGTAAGCAGCTCTATTTTCATATAACGATATGCAACAACAAACTAATGGACTTAACATCTAGGCTAATTGGTAACTTCAAGGTAGTAGCGTGACCAAGAGCTAAGTTCCCCAAAATACTTTCAAATTCTGGCTCGAAAGGAAGAAAAACAAAGAAATGGAGCGATGTGTCCACAGCTATCCAAGTACATGGATAGTTTAGTTTGGCGTTCAAGAAAGGGGGAAAAGCACAAGAGAGCTTTAGTGAAAAGGTCCAGGTTTATGCCAAAATGCAGGAACTAAAGATGGAGATGACGATAACGTGGTCAAGGAGGGTCAAACGAGTCAGCGATAAGGTGGCTGAGGAGGTGGCCGAAGGAGTTGGCGACAACGTGGTCGAGGAGGGTCGAACGAGTTGGCGATAAGGTGGCCGAGGAGGTGGCCGAAGGAGTTGGCGACAACGTAGTCGAGGAGGGCCGAAGGAGTCGGCGACAA